ACTGTATAACGCGGAATTTTGTCTTATTTGTCTTATTTTTGATGAATAAATAAAAAACAGCTCAGTACAGATATATAGACTGCGTCTAAACTGCAGAAACTGCAGAAAGATTTATTTAAATACGGATCCTCATGTTCTGCATGTTTATTAGATTACCAGAAAATACAGCACAGAATTTGTGAAAAAATATTATTCATTATTATTATTTATTTATTTTAGATGTTTACATTTGGAAAAGCTGTGCTTCCTGCATAAACCTACCCCTGTTGGTTTGGCAGTAGCTTGCTTGCCCTACAGTTACCTTGTTTCATTTCTTAATTCAAGTTATATATATATTGTTCTATTTGTGTTTTTTAAGTTATGTATAATATGTGAAGTGAAGTTTACTGTTAAGTGCACTGATGTCAGACTCATTATGAATAATAAAGTTTATTGTTAAATTGTTAAATACCCTGCCTCCACTACATAGGCCTGTGTTTGTCACATCATTATAAGTGTTTGATCACCATAACAATGAGTTATCATGGCAAAAAATGTGTTTGTTTATATATTATGTTTATGTAGGCTATATACTGTATTCTATATACAGTACCAGTCAAATTTTCCTACCTAATTTTTCCTCCTACAGCCAAAGTATCTTTTCTGTGCTATTATGTTGTGTCTTAAAGGGACAGTTCACCATAAAATCAAAATTGTCATCATTGACCCATTTCATTCCAAACCTGTATGTACTTTCTTCTGTGCAACATAAAAGATGATTTGTTTTTTTGGTTCCCAGCATTCTTTAAAGCATCATCTTTTCTGTTCTGCTAAAGAAAGTAAGTCATATAGGTTTCAAATGACATAATGGTGAGTATGTGTTGACAGAATCTGTTCATTTTTGAGTAAACTATCCCTTTAAGCAAGCACAACATACGTATGTCCATCCATAAGATGGTCATAAGGTGACTCTTCCACATGATAAAACCATTATGTCCTGTACAAAGATTCGGTTTAAATCTTTGAAACCAATGATGTTCCTAAAAGCATCTATTTAAAAAAACATTATTAACCTTGAGAGACTGAAAGTGTGTGTGTATGTGGGGATCGTCCCTTGTGTCCTTCTGTCATTTAAGAGATGTAATCGACTTTGTCTTTTATAAGCATCCTGTCTCTGTACGTAATGTCTCTCTCTGTCTCCTGCAGTTTTGGACATGGCGCGTCACGTGCCCCTGTATCGTGCTCTGTTGGAGCTGCTGAGGGCCATCTCCACCTGCACCAGCCTGGTTCCTCTGCTCTTGCCGCTATCAGGAGACGCTGCAGAGGAAGAAGAGGATGAAGAACACACTGAGTGTCAGACGTCTGTTGGCATGTTACTGGCCAAGATGAAGACATGTGTGGACACCTACACCAACCGCCTCAGGTGAGCTCTTCCTCTTAGATACACACATACACACACACACATTCAGTCCAACGGTTGGTCACACAAATGGACAGAGGACAGACAGAGTGACTGCTGATGGATGGAAGCCCGCCCTGTGACACTCACTCTCTGACCTGCGTGGAAAAACCTTATACCCACAAGATGTAACCTGATGCTATAGACACAAGTCAAAACCAGTGTTTCAGCAGAGGAGTAACACACAGTGATAAATGACTGCTAGATCAGTCAGTGCTCCTCACCTGCCCTCGAAAAGCCTCTAATCCCCAGTGGCCTTCAGACTGTCCTGAGCTTTTGCCGTTCCATTCTTGTCCATAATTCAACTTTGGCCTTTTCGTTTTTGCCACAATTTTTGCTGGACCCACCACAAAAAATAAATGATGAATTTGATTTTTAGCAATGTATTGGTTATCAGAAATAATATTTTTTCCTTTTTCTTTCTTTTTTTTTGTTAGGTTTTTAATTTACAAATGTATTTATTTATTTTATTTCTATAATTTGTTTATTATTATTATTTTATTTTTATTTAAATTTCTTGTATTAATATTATAACTTAAAAAATGATAAAAGTATTTGAGTTATTAATTTAAATAAAAAAATTAATATTCTTTAATTTTTTATAAATTGATAAATTAATTTTCTTTTTTAAGATTATTTAGCTTTAATGTGTTTTACGTCACAATATAAGGCTTCGATATAAGCCTAAGGATTTTTTTTTTACCTTTTTTATCATCCTCCAGGTAAAGATTGTGAGTCTGCTTGCTTCAAGTAATAACACAGGTGGATATGTAGAGTAGTGAGAGACTGTGATTTGTTATCAGCTGTCTGTATTTAATAATGGCTTCGTCTTCATGGCTAGCGAGATGTTATTGGCGTTGGCCTGTTAGTCACAGGGCGAAGCCACGAGCTTGGCTCTGTCCAAGTGTCCTTTGAATGACGGGGCCGTCTTAATTATGTGTCACCTACAGGTAAAGGACATTTCTGACATGTCCCCTTTCTCATCTGTCTATCTCTTTCATTTTCTCTCCTCCTGCTTAATGAAAGATGCATGTTGTGAGGGTGTGTGCTTAGCCACAAGACAGCTGGACGTTTTTTTTTAATGGTTTACTTTGGGACAAGTCACAATCTGCTGCTCATTTGATGCATTCAGTGTGTACTAGCACCTCTCAGGATGAGAGCGTGTGTGTTTGTTTCTGGGTTGGGACATGAGAGGCTGAGAAGTTCTTGAGGACATGCACTTGTTTTTTTTTCTCTGTCATTGTTGTGGTCATTAAAAAATGAAACATTTCACGTTCACATGCATGCAAACACAAATAAAGACTCCTAATTAATTTGTTAGTGTCTACAGAAATGTGATTTCTGATGATCCTTTGTCCACCTTAGGTCAAAGAAAGACAAAAGTAAAGGGGTGATGAAGACAGAGACATCTGATCCTGAGCCAGAAGGCCTCACCCTGCTAGTTCCTGACATCCAGAAGACTGCAGAGATTGTTTATGCTGCCACCACCAACCTACGACAGGCCAACCACGGTGAGAACATCCACCTCAATAATCTGCTGTTTATTAAATAATAATGGAGTGGTTACATTTTTAGTAACTTTGATTTAAATGCTTAACAAATAATGAATTTAGAATTTGGACACATTAACTAATTTTTCAGTATTAAAGGGATAGTTCACCCAAAAATGAAAATTTGATGTTTATCACGGCTTTGAGAGTCAAAAAAACATACACAAACAAAACCAAATTAAACCCTGCGGCTCTTGACGATACATTGATGTGTAAAGACACGAAACGATCAGTCTGTGCAAGAAACTGAACAGTATTTATATAGTTTTTTACCTCTGATTTAAAAATCTTCGTTTGTGTTCTACTGAAGAAACAAAATCACCTACATCTTGGATGCCCTGGGGGTAAGCAGATAAACATCCAATTTTCATTTTTGGGTGAACTATCCCTTTAAGTTTTAGAGTAATAACAATAAAGTCATCAATACACAAATGGAAATTATGTAGCGACAAATCAAAACCATCTGATAATTTAGCTTCTTTATCATAGTCGACCTTTGTCTATATTCTAGCTTTATGTTCATTCTCAACCAACTTCATCAAAAGTTTCCTTTTCAACATTCATAATAAGCAATTTTTCTTGAGCACCAAATCAGCATGTTAGCATGATTTCAGCCTTTTCATCACTGGAATAAATTAGATTTTAAAATATTAAAAAAAATAGAACACAGTTATTTTTATTTGTAATAATATTTCTTAATATTATTTTTACAGTATTTTTGATCAAATAAACGCTGCCTTGGAGAAACATTTAAAAATCGTACTGACCCCAAACTTTTGACCGGTAGTGCATGTGTTTACAAAACTAATTTAAAATGCAAAAGCTTTTGCGTGTATGCGCCAGCGTTTTTAATCATGAATCAAGTCAAGTGTGTCCAAACTTTTGACTTATGTACATTTAACTAATATTTTCATAATGTTTATAGATATTAAAATAATCATACCCATGAAATTTTCTGCGCCATTTGAAGCACATTTCACACTAAAACCCCTAAAAGCTCTTAATGCTCTGTCTCTGTAGGGCATTATTTCTTAGGTGCTTGAGACTTGAAACAGAGCAGAAGCAAAAGCACGACAGTGCTGGATGTATAGTGGTCAGTCAGGAGAGGGGGGGGTGTGTATTTCACATGCTGAAGACACACTCCCTGCTTGTCTGAGGGCCTCGAGGGACATGGAGTGACTGTTTGCTCTGACAAAATAAGCCAAAGAGAAACGGCTCTTCAGCACAGAGCCGCACCAGAGCCGGCAGGCTCTCTAAAGCCTGATCGTTTTCTCCAAGGAGTTTTAAATGGAGAGTCAGCTTTACTGGGCAGTTTGGTTTGTCAGGCTAGACTTGATCTATGTCATGCTAATTCTTGAAGATCTTATATTTGAACCAGTGGCCCTTAGTCATAGCCAGGGTGTATTTTCAGACAGGGATATTGTGTGATCAATGTTTAGTCCCTCTATGCTGACCACAGAAAAACCAATGTGACCATGGCAATTCCTAATCCTGGGATTCAAAGCTCTTGAGATAAGTCACATCTGTTTATTAACATGTACAAACTATGTCCCGCTGAGGTCTTTTAGAGCAGTGTTTCTCAACCAGGTGTCCGTGGACCCCTAGTGGTCCTTGACATAAGGCCAGGGGGTCCGTAAGCTGTTCCCTCACCACAGTGCAACACCCCTTTCAAACAGTGTCGCGTTCCGAACGTTGTTTAAGTGACATATACCGGTATTGCAGTATTTTCAAAATTCATATAACAAAAATAAAAACCGGTATTCGGTATGAACCGGTATACCGCCCAGCACTACTTGACTGCATTTGGTCCTCACAAAGACACAAATGATTCGAGTCAATTTTGTTCTGGGGGTCCTTGAGGATGGTTCTGAATTGGACTGGGGTCCGGTACGCCAAAAGGTTGAGATTCACTGCTCTAGAGCAAAGCTAAGGGGAATTTAGACCTTTGAGCATTAGCATGAACCCTTGTGGTCATGAGAAGGTAAGGTTTGGAAATAGCAGGAATTTCCAGGGTTATGTCGGAGAACCACGTCAGCACATGCACATATAATAACCATCACCCTCCCTTGGGTATCTTATGCTCTCATTCTCTCCATGATGAGTGAATGAAAGGGGCGGTAAATATGGTGAGGCGGATCAATGCCGCTGTCACTATCCATAAGTAAAATCCATATGATAAGAGCAGTAAGACATTACACTTACCACCCCATTTAACTGCTTAATTAGTACTCGGTCTGTTTTTTTAAAAAAAAGTGCCAGAGGCAGCGCAGTCAGGATGTCTGATTGGTCGAAAGTGGTGTCCTGTAGTTCAATATTGATACTGGCATCAATATCGTGTGCTAATGTGATGAGGAGAGAGTAAATGGAGCTATCAGTGTCAGTGGGATTTTATGTGGCTCGTATCCAAAGCGTAGCCGTTATCAGCCCTGTTAAGCACAAAGGTAATTTGATTGGCTGTCATGGTGCATGTGTGTGCAGGGAGGGACATGTGTCTGCACACTGCAGAATGGGCGGAAATGCCATAAAGCTCCTAAATATAGGGAGTTTAATTGTGTTGTAGCTCTAACGGCCTCCATCTGCAGGTCTAATTTGTCTCGCCGGAGTGGTGACGGTCTGCTGCTGTCGTTGTCATTAGTCTGACGCTCTCTCGATAACAATCTGAATTGAGAGAACAGAAATGCAGCTACTCATTTGAGTAACAACATGACTTTTTGTGCTTCGTCTCATTTATCAAAGTAACAAATTTGCAGTCAAACACATCTCAATGCGAGACTTTCATTATTTTAATGCATTTGCGACTGAAAACTACTGCGTGCGACAATGAAATTTTTTTTAGGAGCACCAGTGCGACTGACCCGATCATCATCATACTTGTGATATAATTTTTTTAAGAATTTGACAGAAGATGACATACTTTTAATAAAGTTAGAGGAGTCAAATATCACCTCGTAATGGGAAGGCTACTTTTTGATAAAATTTTGGATTATTGATTAGAAGGTGCTCCTAAAATTTTGAACGTGCTCCTAAATTTTTTAAGTTAGGAGCACAAGTGCTCCTAAAAAGAAAAGTAAGCGTAGAGCCCTGACACACTGTCTTCTGCTTTTTTTTAGAGAGGAAGTTGGCTGAAAGCTCTAAGAAGGCAGCAGCAAGGCCCAAACCGCTGTCCATCTTGCGCTCAATGGAGGAGAAATATACAGCAGCCATGAAGAAACTACAGTTTGGTGAGTCCTGAACTACATGTCTCTGCTAGTGCTTGACCCATTTAAGCTTTTACTGGATGAAAAGAGAGTATGTAATATCATTTCATAATTAAAATGATATTTTACACTCAAGTTCAATGATTTGAAACATTTTATTGAACCTTTTAAATAATATTTTTCACAAAATTGTGAATATTTTAGCAATGCACAATACATTGGTTATCGAAAAATATTAGACTTTTTTTTTTTTTTTTTTCATTTATTAGATCGCATATGACTTTGCCATGATCTAACACTCACTTAAATGATTCTTTAAAAGGATAATAATTTAGCAACACTGTGAATAATAGTTAACAGTGTTGTATTTTTATATTAGCCATTTGTTGTTTTTTGGCCATAACATAATAATCGACTTAATTATCGTTGGCCAGAATTATCTAATTATCAGCTAGAATTTTAGTATTGGTTGCTTCAATATTTCAGAATATGTCCACATGTTTTTAGTATGTTTATGGTTATTTGATGTTGGTTAATGGTCACATGACATAAATAAAATATTCTAGAATAAAATCTAAAATAAAATCTTTTTAGTAAGTGTTTTCAGTTATTATTTGTTTTAAAATGTTTTCAGTTATTATTTGTTTTAAAATGTTTTCATTAACTCATGAACCCCAGGGGATTGGAAACCCTGGTCTAAACCTATTCTTCCATATTTTCTGCTTTTGTGCCACATACATAATCGAATGAATGGATAGAAGTTGCTGTTTTTCCTTTCAGCTGCTTTTCTTTTCTTTAAGTGTGCCAAATATTTGGAGAAACACAATGCATATGAACTGAAATTGGGAGAATTGTGTTATATTGCTGGAAGAATAGCTTTTCTGGTTGTCATTTCTCATCTGTCTTTGCTCTGATTGATGGCAAGAGTTTTGTTCTGCCAAAAATGATTTAGCCCGACCTCAGACAAATGAGGTAATCTCAGCTGACGTGACTGTAAACAGGTTTGCAGAGGTCCACACAGAACAGATCCTTCAGAATACACAGTATGGCTTTTTCTGAAGGAAATATGATGAAATGTTTATTTTTAAGTGAATCTGATGTTTTTTCAGGCTGATTGTATTTCATTGTGACTGCTGATAACTAACTGTCTGTGTGTCTTCTCCTCCACAGACACGTTTGAGATGGTGTGTGAGGATGAGGACTCTAAGCTGGTGTTTAAGGTGAACTACCATTACCTGTCTCAGGTGAAGAACGCCAGCGACGCCAACAGTGCCGCTCGTGCTCGACGATTAGCACAGGAGGCCGTCACGCTCTCCACCTCCCTCCCTCTCTCCTCATCCTCCAGCGTGTTCGTTCGCTGCGATGAAGAGCGTCTCGACATCATGAAGGTATGATTTGATACCTCTGACCCCTCAACTGAAACTCTTATATTTATAACAGCTTGTTGATTATTAGTAAAGCAGAGACTGATTTAAGCCACATAAGCATCTTAAATTGGGATAAGAACACAAATTTTGGATCAAAATATATCTCTCTGGTGTTCATATAGACAGGTAAGATTGAATCCAGAAGCATTCATGCAATGAACTACATTATTAGATAAGTCTAGTTTGTAAACAAATCTTGCTTTTAAACCGATTCTTTCTGAAGATTTATTTAAACTGATTCACAGAGCATTTGTAAACCACTAAAACTCTGGAGTGGAATTATGACAGAAATAATGCAAAATGTGGATGGATGAGCATGATTAATTACATTAGGTTAATATATATATATATATATATATACAGTGCCTTGCGAATGTATTCACACCCCTTCTTTTTTTCACATTTTATTTTGTTGCTGCCTTATGTTAAACTGCTTTAAATTAGTTTTTTTCCACAACACTCCATACACCATAATTGTCACGCAAATAAACAGGTTTGCAATCTTTGCAAATTTATTAAAAATAAAAAACTAAAATGATTCCATTGCATAAGTATTCATACCCTTATCTGGGACAGTTGAAATTTAGCTCGGGAGCATTGATTTTGCTTGTAGATATTACTACACTTCAAGTGAAGTTAACCTGTGGCAAATTCACTGACAGAGCTTGAGAGGTGAACAGGTGAGGTGAAGAATGGCAGATAATTGCCAAATGCTGATGTGCAAAGCTTGTCGCATCAAACAAAAAAAGACTTGAGGTGCTTCAGCTAAATATTTAGTTAATATTATAGTTAATTATAATAGTTAATTTAGTTAATACTTATGCAATGTACTTATTTCAGTTTTTTATTTTTAATTCATTTACGAAGTTGTGACAATTCTGTTTTTGCTTTGTCAGTATGATGTATGGAGTGTAGATTGATGTGGAAAAAAAGTAATTTAAAGAAGTTTATCATAAGGCAGCAACATAACAAATTGTAAAAGAAATGAAGGGGTATGAATACTTTCGCAAGGCACTGTATATATATATATATATATATATAAAATATTTTTGTACTTGAGTGGCAATTCAAACAAGTTAAATGTATTTATTTATTACTTTTTTATAATTTATAACAAATTAAAGAATCAAATCATGTGAATTGACTAATTAAATGAATCAGTCAATAAGAATCGGATATCTCAGTGCTGAATATGAGAACAACCCATGACTGTCCCAAGCCTTGCTGTTTACTGTGGGTCAACATTAATCTTTCGATCTCTGCTGCTTGACAAAACAACCGCAGAGAATCCCAAGAGTCGCTTGCTTGTCTTGCTGTCCTGTGGTCTCTAACACACACATGAGTGCACAAACTCTTCCTAATGACATTTGAGATGTGCTTTTGACCCGGGCTCCTCTCTGAGTGTGTAAATGTCAGTGTGTCTGGCTTGAGCTTTATGTCCCAGGCAGGCCAGACCACAGGCGGAGCCCCAGACAAGACTGGTCACTCACTGCTCTGTCTGCTTACACTGACCCTTAACAGGCCTTTTTATCTTCTTCCACGCTTCATACAATCTTAATGGACATTAATAGTAAACTGAGCTTTCCGGATTTAACCTACACCGAGTGTGTGAGCACAGCTTTGTGTGTGTGTTTAGTGTTGCGTTTGAATGGTCTTGTCAAAACAGTCTTAACGCCTAAATGCAGCTCTACTGCCTGCAGTGGAGAGTGATTCACTGGATGGCATGACAGTCCTCCGATCTTCCTTTCTCTCACTCCTTCTGTGGGAAGCGGGATACATCACTTTGCGTGTGTCAGTGCAACTTCCCCTATAGACCTGGTTTAGACATGCCAATCATTCCAGTGCTGTTCAACACAATGTTTTTTATTTTAATGTTTGTCGTCTTTGAATGAATGTAGGGTCGCTGTCTTTTAATGGTTGTTTTCTTGGTTTTTGTTTTAGGTGTTGATAACAGGGCCTGCAGACACACCATATGCCAATGGCTGTTTCGAATTTGACGTCTATCTCTGCTCCTCTCTCTCCTCAAACTCGTGCTCATGTACTGCTGCCAGCAGTTCATAGAAATGTCTCCATTGATTAGTGCTACAGTTAGCGTCCAGCTGATCAATAAATGGAAATCAGGAACAGGGACACAGTAGTGCTGTGGTCAGTGAGAGCCGCTGTGTTCTTCACCTCTTCCACTTGATCCATGTGTCATTCCTCCTAGGCTTTCTAAAACATGTGTGTGTGTGTTTTAGGTGCTGGTGTCAATCCAGTCTCTGATTCTGGTGGCTGAGCCA